AACCTAATTATTTCGATTCTAGCAACATATGCAAAAACTTTGTCGAAGTCGATTCCATCTTTATGAAGAAATCCTTTCACCACAAGTCTCGCCTTATGTCGAGTTACTTCTCCTTTAGAATTAACATTCACCTTGTATACCCATTCCACATTGATTGCCTTCTTCCACTTTGATGGACTTCAATAACTCAGTTCCTCATCCATTGATTTTTTCCACTTCAAATACTTCAATGACTCAACTGCATTTACTAGTTTGACATCTGTATAGAAAGCATAGTGTAGTAGCTCACCTTCATCATCGACCACATCAACTGATGTAATAACACATTCTTGCAATCTTGCAGCCACGCGTCTCGTTCTTTAAGGTCTACTTGTGCTTTCTTGACCTCTGACTTCTGCCTATGGAACTTATCTTTCAACTTCACTTACTAGTTCTTCACATAAGATTCTCACTGAATCTTTCTTGACATTTTCAGTCCAATCCCATTCCTTAAGCTCATCTATGATCAAGTCTCCACTGATCACTACTTGCTTGTTCACTGGGTTAAACAACTTATAACCTTCAGTCGAATGATATCCTATCAGGATCATCTAACTCGATCTATCATCAATCTTTCTTCTTAGTTGATCTGTCACATGTCTATGTGCTATTGATCAAAATACCTTCAAATGACTCAAGCTACACTTGATACCAGACCAACATTCTTCTAACATGATTCCTTCTAGATTTTTCATCGGACATCTGTTCAAAATATATGTTGCATTCGACACAGCTTCTCGCCATAATTTCTTAGGTATATGCTTGCTTTTCAACATACTTCTCACCATATCCATGATGGTTCTGCTATTCCTTTCTGCAGTTCCATTCTGCTGTGGAGTGTAGGGTGGCACCACCTCATGCACAATCCATTCTTTCTCACATAATGTATCGAAGTATTTTGACACATATTCTCCACCACCATCAGTCCTCAAAATCTTGAGCTTTCGACCATTTTGTCTTTCAACCATAAATTTAAACCTGGCGAATACCTCGATCACTTCACTTTTCTTCTTGATCAAGTAAGTCCATAGTTCTTGACTGAAATCATCTATGAAAGTGACAAAGTATTTGTTACCTCCAATCGAATCCACCTAGATAGGTCTACACACATTAAAATATATGACTTAGTGCTTCGTGCATCCTTGCTGAAGTTGTTCTCGTGTTGCTTTGCCTGCACACATCCTTCACACACTTCATTTGGAATATTGATTTCTGGTAATCCTGAAACCATATTTCTTCTCTTCATATCTCTGATGTCTTTGAAGTTGAGATGACCAAGTCTATAGTGCCACGTCCATTCATCCCTGCTAGCTGCAGTTGCAAGACACTTATACTCAATCACATCAAGTTCAATCTTGAAGGTTCTATTATGAGACATAGGTGCCTTCAAGATTAACCTTCCTCCTGATTTGAGAACTCTCATCATCTTGTTTTCAATGAAACTTTGTAGTTCTTTTCGACCAACTGCCCTATGCTGAGAAAATTACTTTTCATTCTTGGTATGTATAATACATTACTAACCTCTTGCCATCTTTACTCATAATCAGAACATCACCAATACCTTCAGCTGCTAGAATATTATCATTTGAAAATTTTAACATGTTCTTCAATGAGAGTTTTATATTGAAAAACTAATATTTCCTACTAGTCATGTGTGATGAGCATCCTGAGTCCAAGTACAATTGGTCCTGGAATCTTTCTTCATCTCTTGTTGTGACCATCAACAACATCTTTTATTCTTCATGCTTTGCAAACTTTGCATCATTTTCTTGATTCTTTTATTTTTCAGGACAATCACTAGAGTAGTGACCATACTTCTGATAATCAAATCACCGAATGTGACTTTTGTCAGGTTTTCGACCATCACCTCTTCCTCTACCTGTTGCACCACCTCTTTGGTTGCTTTGGTATGAGGACTCTCTCTGATTTGATCAACCTCTTTCTTGTTGATTTCGACCAGTCGAATTATCATAAACTCATCTACCTTTATTGTTGAACCACTTCCTGCTGCCTTTCTTTTCTCTTACTGATTGTGCCTGCAAAGCCACATCACTCTTCGACTTGCTTGTAGCTCTTTTAGCCATTCTTTGTTCATGAGATTCAAGCGTTCCTTGAAGCTTTTCCTTTTTCAATGTTGACAAATCTTTCGACTCTTTTATGGCTACTACTACATGGTCGAATTTTGGAGCCAATGACCTTAAGATCTTTCCAACAACTGATTGTGATGTCAACACTTTTCTACATACTTTGATTTGATTCACCAGTTTTGTAACCCTAGTGAAAAAATCAGTTATGCTTTCACTTTCGTCCATCTGAAGCAATTCATACGTCCTTTTGTGAGTTTGTAACCTCACCTATTTCACCTTCTCTGCGCCTCCAAATGATTCCTCCAAGATTTCTCATACTTCTTCGCTGATTCTACATCACTGACCTTTTTGAAATTGTCTGAATTAACACATTGATGAATTATAAAGAGAGCTTTATAATATTTCTTCTTCAATTCTTTGTATGCAACTTTCTCTTGATCTGACGCATTTTTTACAAGTGGTGTTACTCCTTCATTCACAAGATCCTAAAGATCTTGACAACAGAAAACAACCTTCATTTGTTTATACCAATTCTCATAATTCTGACCCTTCAGAATTGGGAGACTTGCAGGAAAATATCCATTCAGATGATTCATCGTCATTGCCATTATGTTTTGCTTCCCACGAATCGCCCAAGCAGTGCTCTAGATACTAGATGTTGAAATAAAACCCAAGATCTTGAGTAATTCCGAATCAATATTGTTGAACAAGATTCAATCTCACCGACCAAATTCCCTCTTACTCTTCACTCTTCACTCGAGTGAATCAACCAACCTTGGTTGCAACATTATATTACTGCACAATGGTGATGAAAACTAGAAAGAAAATTGAATCGGGGAAGAAAGAAGAATTTCTACAAAGAAACTCTCTACTCACAAACTATGATTTTATTCCTTTGTAACTGCAAGTATTCAAATTGTTTACAAAATATGGTTACTCTCTATTTATAGATTTAGCTTGCTTGTTCCCTAAGCAAAATCCAAAAACAAAAAGTCCAAAATACCTAATTATACTAACACTACACAATTAGGTTAAAGACAAAATCCATGTCGAGGCTAACTCCTCAACACTTCGACAACTTCCTTATCCTTGTCGAGCAATCTGCTTCGACACAAGAAATTACAATTCAACATTTATGACACTAATTATAGAATTAAAAAAAAAAATTGGCAGATAATCATTGATATTAAATAGTGAGAAATAGAATTTTTTTTTTTTAATATTGCATTAATTAAATAATAACAATCAACTATTATATGTAACAGAAAAATGTATGAAACCAGATAAATGAAACTATAGAACTAAATTTATCAAATATTTTTTAATGTGAACAAATATAAATAATTTTTAATGCACGTACGAAATCAAAACAAATATAAATTTTATATAAATAAAAAATATATTGTTGATCCAAATATTTTCATAAACAAACAGTATTTTTGTAAACCGGAGAAGTTTACTATTTATCCAAATGTGCTAAAAATAATAATTTTTATATAAATAAAAAAAATAGACTTTTGATCTAAATATTTTTATAAAGTGTGTTTTTCTGTATCAACGAGAAAGATTTGACTATTGATCCAAATATATTTATAAACAATGTCAAAATATTATCCTCACTTTTGTTTAATAAATTTTTTAATTGTATTTATTAATACTATACCTTAATTTTTGTCACCTTATTATAATTCATCCATTGTTTAATGACAAATCTATTATTTTTATTATTATGATTCAACTTTTTTTCATGTGTTTTATTCTATTCATTTTTATTTAATATTTTGCTTGTAATAACTTAATCATTTTATAATTTGTTGTATTATATTACATATCAATATATAATTGTAGTATGAATTATATATTATGTAGAATTTAATTTTATAAATATGTTATAGCCTTATAGGATTAAATGGATCATCAAGATGAGAAAATGATTCATATGGTCATTAATCATATAATTTGATTTTATGAAGTTATCAATATTTTATTTTCATTTAAAGATATTTTAGAGTATTTTAAATGTTAAATATTTTGTGTTTAATTATCTATGTTTTTTATGAATTAACAATTTTAAAAAAATTATTTAACATATTTTTAAAACCCCTCCCTTCTCTCTTTAAACCAAATATATATTTGAATAAAACTTCTCCCCCTCCTCTTATAAATCAAATATATGTTTAATTAAAATATTTTCTCTCCCCTCCCCTCCCCTCTATTAAACTACTAAGCGACCCTTACTTAAGCGTATAAGAAAGATTGCAATCTCAAAATTAATAACTTTCATTGTTTAAAATTCCTGATTGTCATAATTATGTTATTATTGAACTTAAGACAATATTAGATTTTAATCTTTGTTTGAATTTCATCTTATCAAATAAATTAACTTACAATACTAGAATCTTATAATAAGTTTCAGTGTAGTAATAAATTACTTTTTAATTCTGTTCCTATTATTATTAATAAGTTTTTATCTTTATTTCAATATATTGTATGTAGTACAATGAAAAAAAAACCGCGTCCAAAAACATATACAAGGTTGTTACTAGTTTTTTAAAAGAGAATTAAAAGTTTACAAATAACTAAGACTAAACTATTTTTACAATAGCTAGGGTGTTAGAGACAGATATTCTGGGAACACCAGAAAAATAAGTTCTATTTGAAGACGTTCTTAACACTAGAGGAGAAATTGCAAAAAGGTTCTACATTTTGGTCTCTCTTCTCTCACTCTCTTGTACTACTTTTCTCAGGCGAACCATATTCTGAACGTGAAACCGAACGAGTTTCCATTGAAACCAACACATCACCGTTGCACGCCACTTGTTTGATAAAATGCTTCAAAGTGAGAGCCACACATCTTAACTCTCACACCAACCTATGTCTAATTCTAATCTATTCCTCTTCTGCTGGACACGCACCCGCAGGACTTTCTGCACCAACATCACCAACAAGCCTCCACCACCCTTCGATTTCACCAAAACTCCAATCTCCCGTCTCCCCACCGTCATCATTCTTGGCCGACCTAACGTCGGAAAATCCGCACTCTTCAACCGCCTCATTCGCCGAAGAGAAGCTCTTGTTTACAACACACCCGACGATCATGTCACCCGCGACATTCGCGAAGGTGTTGCAAAGTTAGGTCACCTGCGTTTCAGAGTTTTGGACTCTGCTGGTTTAGAAGCTGAAGCCACTTCTGGTTCCATTCTTCACAGAACTGCTTCATTTACTGCTAATGTGTTGGCAAATTCTCACTCTTTACTCTTCCTCACTGATGCAAGAGCTGGACTTCATCCTCTTGATCAGGAAGTTGGAAAATGGTTGCGCAGAAATGCACCTCAAATTAAACCTATTCTTGTTATGAATAAATCTGAGTCACTTTTTGATGCTGATGACTCTCTTGCGTCTGCTGCTAATGAAATGTCTCGGTTAGGGTTTGGGGATCCTATTGCTATATCTGCTGAGACTGGTTTGGGTATGCATGACTTGTTTTTGTCTCTTAAGCCTGTCTTGGAGGATTACATGCTTAGTCTCTTGAATGGTAAGTAAGCCACAGTTTATATTACTTTTTTCGTGGAAGATGATAAAACAGTAACTGCAATGTTATTTTATGCTAACTTAGTGTATGATTCATGAAAATTCTGTCTTTTTGGGCCATGGAAGAGGGGTTTGGGTAATACAATTATTTGTTGATAGTTTGTTTGTGATCATACCTAGAGACAAAGGGTTGTAAGAATTTGCAATTATCAACATTGAGTTCACTTTTGTGTTGCTGTTTAATATTTTCTTTTTATTCTGCTTTCAATTGATTACTCATCATAGATGAAAGTGCTAGGGAGAATAGCTGCGGTGATGATACTAGTTCCCCTGAGGCTGACGAAAGCAAACTTCCGTTGCAGTTAGCAATTGTAGGACGCCCCAATGTTGGTAAATCAACCTTACTGAATACTTTGTTGCAAGAAGACCGTGTTCTTGTGGGTCCTGAAGCTGGTTTGACTAGAGATGCAATCAGAACTCAGTTTGAATTTCAAGGAAGAACAATTTATCTGGTACGTTTTGGTTTTGGACTTCTGGTAGTATTGATAGAGCTAGAAACTGACATATCTAAAAGAATGTATCTTGTAGGAGGAAAACATAGTAGTTACTTGTTTCTCTGACCTTCAAATTAGATATTATTGCCACACATTTTTGTTTCCAATTGGTATGTTCCTTCAAGTGCCGCCGTTTATTTGCTGCATGTTGACCAGTGTTGTCGATGGCAGACGGAGATCCATGGTTGAGAAAGCAGATTATGGTAGAAAAACCCGCAATATCGCCCGATTATGGTCGATATTTGATAACACTAATGTAGCCCCTCAACAATATGCAAGTCTTGTTTTTAAAGTTTATAATGCTTTTTATATACATCATCAGGGGAAGTACTACAAATTTGGTCTTGTAATTGTAAGCGTGATAAGCTTATAATCAACTTGCTATAGCTCTGATTTTCCTTAGTTTTGAATCTCTATTCTTGATGTGCATATTTAGTTGTTGACCATGCTGCTTCATGGTTGTATTTTTAAGCATCGAAATTAGTATTTTGATTGAAGTTACTTTAATTATCATATTGAACAAGGTTCATTATCTTTAAGAAAGACTGTGTACTCTCTAATATCCTTGGCTATTTTGTTTACTATTCTCTTCTATATTAATCATTTCATATCTAGAAGACTAGAACCCAATACTCAATATCACCCACATACATGCTTGTATTAAGCTTAAGTACTCTGAATCTTTCCTTGTTCCCATTTATTATTTGGTGTCAATCAGTTAGTGTCAAAGCTCTTAGCTCATGGAATATGGATGGTTATTACACTAGCCGCGATGGAGTCTCAAATATATTTTGGATAGATGCCCATTGTAATGGAGCAATGATAGCCAATCCCCGTTGAACTGGTCCAGTGGTTCTTGATGGGGTAGAGCGGAGAGTACACTGAAGGTTGTTCTAAACAATGACGCAAGTTGATCATTTGAAACACCCTTACCAACAAAATGTAGCGGAGTTCTTTTGTGTACAATCAAGTTTAAGCACTACCAACTGCTTATGATGGAGGACATGGATGAAGAAGATAAGGAATTAGAAGACAAGGCACTCCGGTTGTCCATATAGAATAAAGAGGGATCAGTGTTATCAAACGTGGCCATGATGTTTTATGATAGAAATAAAGTCATAAAATACAAATTTTGGCATATGCTATGGCCCGCCATCCACAACCGATAACGCAAAGAAGGATTGACTTCCAATCAATCTTTTAAAACTTAGGTAGAGTCAAACAAAGACAAATGTTATGTTTGTAGATTGGTAGCTTGTTGGGTAATCAACAACATCATTTCCTGAAAATTAATCGAGGTGTTGAATCTTATGGCCGAGGAGGACACAGGTGAAGATTATGGGAGTTCTTAAGATTGAAATTAAGCATAATCTATTCATATTTGATTTGAGGGGTGCAAATGTAATCTTAGGGATGGATTGGTTAACCATTTAGTTGATATTGTGGCTAGTTTATAAATTTAGCTATGGAATAGGAGAAGGGGGAGTAAGTTGATTTTAAGGAGAGATCCTTCCCTTTGCTAAATGCAATTCTCTTAGAGAACTATGATCAGTGCCTTGTAAGATGAAGTAGAGGGATATTATATATAGTGACAACGGCTACGAAAGGAGAAAAGATTAACAACTTATATTTAAGGAAATTGATGTTGATTTGAAAGAATTTACTGCATTTCTTAGAAACCCAACGGGTTTCCTCTAAGGAGAGAGCAGAGTCATGCCATCAATCTCAAATTGAGAGAATGTGGGGAATCATGACCAAGTTAGAGAATGTGAAAAGGTCTCCACTAGTAACCGGTGAGCTGTCAGTAAGGCAGATAGTGGATTAAGGGTATAGGATATGTGAAATGGGAAAGATATTTTGAAATTAGGCGGGACACTTTTGGAAAATATATGTTGGCAGGAGGACTTGATATCTCTGATTGCCTATGCCTAGGCTTTTTTGTTTCTTCTTTCTTCTGCATTCATCTTTTAATTTTCAAAAACCCAGGACCTGATTTCACCTTCGTACAGGCCTGAAGTTCATTATAACTGTAGTGAGTTTTTCCTTAAAAATTTCAGTACCTATTATAAGCTAAAACTGAACATTTAATGTTGAAACTTCGGTTACATTCTTAAATTTTTATCATGTTTTACTGTCATTCAGGTTGATACTGCCGGCTGGTTACAAAGGACAAAACTGGAGAAAGGAGCATCATCCTTGAGCATTATGCAATCAAGAAAGAGTCTACTCCGGGCTCATATAATTGCTTTGGTACTAGATGCAGACGAGGTATGCTGCATATATTGCATGTTCAGACTATAGTGCTAACATGTGATATTATCAACCTTTGTTTTAGCATGCTAAATTTATATGTCATGGTGTTTATTGTTCTAATTTAGCTCACACGTTTCTAATAATTAAACACAAGTGTGGGCCAATCAAAATGTAATAGTATTATTGTTCTAGTAATTCATTTATCTGGTGGAAATTTTGAATTTGATACTAAGAATTTTGGATTTTGCTGATTGTTTTCCCAAATACTTTTTCAACATTTCTAGGGTGGTTTGTTCTCTCTTGCTGATAGAAACATACGTCTTGCTTTAGTCCCATAATTTTTGGTTTACCCCTTAAATGAAGTTATCTTGTCCATTATATGAATGTGAAGTATGTATTTGTGTTTGTGACACCCTCTTTTAAAAACACTTATCTATCAGAAAGGTCTTTCCTCCCTAACTTCATGGTGTCAACTAGATATTTAATCTTCTCTTATGAGATTTTTATTGGAAAATCTATGCTGACCAGATAGTAAATGCTAAACGAAGTATGAAACATGCTGAAGTAGTTATAGCCAGACGAGCCGTGGAAGAGGGACGTGGTCTGGTTGTGATTGTGAACAAGATGGACCTTCTAAGGGGCAAAGACAAATCATCATCCTATGAGCAGATTATGGAGGTTGTTCAAAAAGAAATTCAGACAGTTATACCTCAGGTTTGCTATGTAGTTATGAGCTTAACATTGTCTAGAAGTTCAATAAATTGGACTATTTACTATACATGATGTTTAAACTGTTACCTTTTTCAAAATAGATGCCAAAATTATGTATTTGGACATGATATTTAAAATAGATATATTTCAAATTGAAAAAAAGAACAAAGAAAATCTTATGAGGTTATCGATTTATCATACAATCCTCAATGTCTTGTTTCTTTGCTTTAAGTGAATGAATAACAAACTCTACCCATTGTTTCTATAGTGAATTGTGGATTTTGCATGCAATTTTCAACAGGTTACTGGAATCCCAGTATTATTCATTTCAGCATTAGAGGGAAGGGGCCGGACAACCGTCTTGCATCAAGTCATTGATACATATGAAAAATGGTGTACAAGATTATCTACAGCTCGTCTTAACCGTTGGTTGCAAAAGGTATTAACTACTTCCATTACTACTTTGTGTGAAGAGTGAATCTTGCAATCAGTAGTAAATATTTTTTCTCCTGGTTGTTTTGGACCAGGTTATGAGCAGGCATTCTTGGAGAGACCAGGCAGCACAGCCTAAGATAAAGTATTTCACTCAGGTTAAGGCTCGACCACCTACATTTGTTGCGTTTGTGCGTGGGAAGGCCCGACTTTCTGATACAGACATCAGGTTCTTAACGAAGTCCTTGAAAGATGACTTCGATTTGGGTGGAATTCCTATACGTATCATGCAACGTGCTATCGCTAAGAAAGATGGCAGTGGAACTAGCAAGAGTATCCAGTCAGTAGGCAGAGTGGCTGAAAGGATTAAGTCTGACAAGAGAGAGAGAGGCGACTTAGTGGAATCAAAGGCATGATGATGGTCACTTCAGCATGCAAAATTGCAAGAGGGAGCTTAGTTTTCATATTTTGGAAGCTTTAAACAAGTGTTTGACCGAAGAAAATATTTGACCTCTGCTGGTGCCGCCTCTGACTATGCTTGCGGCAAACAAATTCACGAGCAAACGGGCTCTTAGACACCTGGTTTTATCATTAGTGCATAAACTTGACCTGGAATTCTTGAACCACATGTGACATAATTTTATCGCAATTTCAAATGTGCTGAACTTGTATATACATAAAACTAGAATTAGTGTATGATGATGTGTTGGTTTTAGTTATCAACAATAGTGTCTCATGCCATGAGATAATAGAAATATTCATACGTATTTGATAGCAAAAATATTAAGCTAAACAGAAAAATTGGAAGTTGATATTTTGGTGTACCTAGTACTTTATAATTTAGAAAGTGGTTCGTTTTTCAATTTTGAATAGTTAAGTGAATATAAATTTTAAAGCTTTAAATGATTAGAATCGTGGTATATGGTGATTTATAGGTGTTAAATGTTTGCAAATAGCAATTCCCAAATGGCACTGAGAAACTTGGAAAAGCATGATCTACTACTTAATTAATGTAAAAGCTCATGCCAACTCGTGGAGATGGCATGATTATGATTTCTTTTTAACTTTGTAAATTAGTTTAATTAAATTGATAATACATTTTTTCTGATAGTATTTTTTATTTCTCTAATAATGCATTTTTTCTGATAGTATTTTTTATTTCTCTGATTGAAATAGCTTAAATTATTCTGATATTATTTTGCCGGCTCAATAAAATTTTAATCTTTTAATAAAACTTTTTTAACAGGTTAGTTTCTTAAGTTTTTTAATGTAATAAATTAGTTTTTTAATATATAAAAGCAGATGTTATCCCCTTAAGTAATTTATGCTAACAAAATTGATATCTCGGAAGTATATATTATGTAATTTGTTCTCCATGAGAACTGAGATGATTAGATATTGTTAAACTGATAGCTGCGAGATTATGTTTGGATATTGTTGAATTGATTGCTGCATAAACAATTATTATTCTAATGTTCAAGTTAGCGCAAGAAATAAACAGTGAAATCTCAAATGAAAATGTATTTGAAAATTGCGTGTTAACTCTGTTTTTATAAGAGAAATTTTTAGTAATTGAAATGCAAAAGGAGAGTGTGGAATGCGGGTGGCCCGATGATACATCTTATGGTGTTTAATGGATTCACGAATGTAGTCATGCAAAATGACTTTGGATTTATCTCTTGTATCTTTTTCATGCTCTGTGTTCTGTTAGTATTAGCGTCACGTTCTGTTGGGTCTTGACGATCGATCCATAACAGTTGCCCTAAGCTCTTGTCTTTTGTCATGAAAGGTAAGAGCTTTGTAATAACCATCTTATATATCTATGGAGATCATTAAAGAAGAGGTTTAACGGGACTTCGAAAAAGAGGAAATTTGAGGAATCACTCATGCGTGGCACTCGAAGAGAGGTACAACGATAGACACATGTTCTTCACCCTTGTTGGTCGTCAACATGATTACTCTGGGGTGTTAGAGTGCCAACTCAACGATCATAAAGAAATCTCAACTATTGATAGTGGAGAATGATCGCGTGACTCCAAGCCACTTGAGGAAGTTTATTGGGTCTTTGCAGGGACTTCATTCTTCTTGTTGACTTGTCTACTGACTTTCTTGAGAAACTCTTCTCTCTTTCTCTTCCGAGCCTTAGGTATTCTCTAGATGTGTAATTTGATCAAATATTTGGGAAATTCCACTTGCTGATTCAGTTCTTTGCATGTTCAATTTCTCACTCATACTTTTGATCCTTGGCATATGAGTCTTTCTATTCCTTCTTCTTCGTCCTTTTAGGGTTCTCTAAAATCTCAAGTTTGTTTGGTCTGCTTGTCAATTCCTTCATTATCGTTTGTTTCTTATATGTTAACCAAAAGAGCTAGTAAAGGTATTTTGTGAGTTTGGGTAAGTTCAGACATATCAGGTGCCATCTTCTTCTTTTCACGTAGTAATGCTTTTACCTAAGCTATGATTGATGTAGGCTTGCTTGGACTGAGGTGTCCTTCCTCCGAATGAGGATCAAATGGTATGTGGCCAATATGGTGGGCGTGCTATCCCATTTCATGAATGTATATTCTCTTTAATTGGTTACCGCCCTCTCTTTAACGAGTTTGAGATCAATGTCTTGAATAATTTGCTTATTTCCCTTTCACAATTCGATCACATGAGTAGGCGTTTTTCAAGGTCTTTCAACACTAGTGTGAACACAAGGGAAGCAAATTGATGATGACATTGTTCTTTCACCTCTTCAAGTGCAAAATGGTTATAAATCTTCAAATGGTTATGGCATAATTTCTATGCGACAGAGTGTCAAATACTTCAGACTTTATTCTAATAGCATGAAGAACTTCAAGGATCACTTTTTCTTAGTGGCCCCTCTTAACCAGGAAGCTCATTCAAGAACATGTTACTTGAATTCTGACGCTCCTTCTTCTTGCACGAATATTTTCCAAAAATACTTGACTCAAAGTTATTTCCTTATAGGAGCTGGGATGTGTCGTTATAAGAAAGAAGATTTTTTTGGAGTAAAAGTGATACCTAAAAATTTAGTTAGTGTCTTTTTGTTGGGAGCTTGGATATGTAGGTGAAGTGGTTCCCTCTGACCTTGCCTTAAAGATCCGGTTAAATATATGCATTCAAACTCGCTAGGTCGTAGATGCGAAATATAAAGAAGAGAGGAATACGATATTTTGTATGCTAGTTTAGGATTGCTTACTTCATTCTTCCTCCTCTTGGTATTTCCTAATGTTTCCTTCTTATTTGCATATATCATTGTCATATCTCAAAATTTTTCTCATCATTTATCCTTTCTTTTTTACTTATTTTGCATCTTGAGCATTTATAGGCCTAGATCATGTTTGGGACTGAGGGACAATCTGATCAAAGTTTTCTTATTGCATTGCATTTAGTCATTTTAAAACTATCCCATTTGCATTCGTAGTATCCTACATCTTCATCTATAATATGTCATTTGTTTTAAGGGCCTATGGCCATTGTCATTCATGTTTGGACTTTACTCATCATTATTTTTTAAATGGAAATTTAAAGCTCATTAAGACTAGTGTTTCTTATTTTAAATAAAATTTGCATGTGATCATAGTTTGTGTGTTTAGTTTATGACTTCATTTGAATTCTTATGTCACTTTCATTCATGCACGTTTTGTATATTTTTAGAGCCATTTGCATTCACTATGTATTTTTGGGCATATACCATATATAGGGAATAAAAATGTTTTTGTTCTAAATAAAACAATTCAATTTGAAAGAAATTATTTTGGACAAATTTCCACAATTTGACAAAAGAGTGCATTTTACATATAACTCTCAAATATTAGACAGTTTACATTGCACACACATTTATACATTAAAAGTAAAATATAAAAAAAAATGAAAGTGTAAAAAAAGAGGAATTTGGTGCCAGTGTGTGGTTAAGTAACACAAGCTCCACGTTTGACCTAAAATCATCACCTTCATGCGCCATCATCATATACATTACCCTACATCATACATATATAAACAAAATGAGTTAAAAATTGAAAAAAAAAACAAATGGAAAAGAAGCATTGCACAAGTTGATTGCGATAACATTCACCATATCATCACAACATTTTCACAACATACAAGTCATTACCATTGTGAGTGTATTCTTCCATCTAGACATGTTTTGAATGATGTCAAAATTAAGAGAATGTTTTAGCGTTTTTGTATATTGGACGGTATCAACAAAAGTTTAGATGTACATTGATCATTTTAGCCTTAGGATGCATACAAATGGTTTTGAAAATGATTGGAAATGTCTAGGGATGCTTCATACATAAAAAAACTATGCTTTATGTGTGAACATTGTTGCATAGCTGACACATACGAGTTCAAGCCAACCTATATAAGTGTTTGCTTTAGTATAGGTCGACACATAAAACTTCAAGTCAACTCCCATGGATAATATTAAAGCCTGTAGCAACTGTCCATAGGTCTCTTATCGTAGGTCGACACATGGGCGACACAAAACCTTCATAGGCCAACATGAGTACCTTCACAGGCCGACATGTAGCTTTCAAAAACTTAAAATTTTGTTATGCATCTTATTTTTTTCTTGAATCCTTTTGGCCCATTTCCATACTCACATATATATACTCATACACGCACCTTTTTCTAGCAAGGTACTAGTGTAAAACCTAAACGAAACCAGGATTACACATCATTCCCATCATCTTCAACTTTTCTTCTATGCATACACACAATCAAACTACATATAATCATTTTTTGATTGGGTGACCATCTAGATTAAGGTTGATAACGTCTAATTAGGTTGGTGTAACCAAGAATATTGGGTTGAGATCTTTGTGTATTTCAAATAAGAAAACCAAGGTGGTGTCTACCTTCAAGATCATTGGGATTTGAAGGTTTTGGACAAGTTCACGTTAACACGGATTCGACCAAGTGGATACCTTGAGATAAGGTGGTTTCTTTGCAAGAGAGTAGCGTGAGACGGTGAATCATGTTTGGGAATCTTGGGTTCAACAAGTGCATGCTAGGGATAATCCGACCGAGTGAAAACCTTGAAGACAAGGAGGTCTTACAAGCAAGTAGTTAAGAACATATGGATTGTAGCAGCATTTTTGGTGACTTGATCAAACCTTGATCAAGGGTTTGGAGGCGGTTGAATCCATAACAAATCATAGGGTTTGTGGGGCTAGAGTTCTTCACCTCTTGTATAAACATTTTTGCAAAGATAAGGTTAATTTCAAGTATCTCAATTCAATTTCGAATTTAGGACAGACATACCCATAGAGAGATCGATTGGGGAACTGCATAAACAAATATTTCTCTCTCTCTCTCTCTCTCTCTATATATATATATATATATGTGTGTGTGTGTGTGTGTGTGTGTGTGTGTGTATGTGTGTGTGTGTGTGTGTATATATATA